GGTGTGTTGGACGTAGCCTCACATGAGTTCCAAAGGAATTGAACTCAAGTACAGCTTCTGTCAGCCCAGGCACTCTAAGATGTTAAAATGCAAAATCACTGCTAAGCTTTGTGTAACACGTGTTTTCACCTCACATTGTTTTGTCTGCCACCTGCCTTACTCGCAACCTATTTCTCTCCTGTAGGCTGTATTATATTTTCCTTCTAGGGAATAATCTATAAAATATTATTCTTTAACATTGTTAAAGCAAATATTTTTACCCACAAGAGCTGTGCCTTTTCCATGTCAGAAAAAATAACATGGGGTTGTACATCTCATAGAATCCTTTAGGTTGGAAGGGGCCTTCAAGATCATCAGGTCCAACCATTGAGCCATTAGGGCTCTAAAGTCCTCTGCTAAAACAGATCAGAATCTGTCAGGGCTGGAAGGGACCACAGGATACCCCAGTTCCAACCCCTCTGCCATGAGCAGGGACACCTCACACTAGATCAGGCTGTCTAGAGCCTCATCCAGCCTGGCCTTAAAGACCTCCAGGGATGGGGCCTCAACCCCCTCCCTGGGCAACCCATTCCAGGGTCTCACCACTCTCATGGTGAAGAACTTCTTCCTCATGTCCAGTCTGAATCTGCCCACTTCCAGCTTTGCCCCATCTCCCCCACGTCCTGTTGTTACTCGATATCCTAAAAAGTCCCTCCCCAGCTTTCTTGTAGGCCCCCCTAAGACACTGGAAGGCCACAATAAGGTCACCTCGGAGCCTTCTCTTCAATCTCAGCATTGTTGAAGTTATTATGTAGACAGCTTGCCAACAACAGTTCCCACAATCAACTGCTTCCAAAAACTTGGAAGCAGCTGCTCAAATCCACTGTTAAATACTGCTGTAGGTTTGTTTGTGTGTGGTGGTGTTGGTGTTGTTGTAGTTCTCATTTTTTAATTTTTTTTGGCGGGTGGGGGTTGTTTTGTTGTGTTTTTTGTTTTTGTTTTTTTTTTTTTCCAGACTGATAATAAATGTCGATTTATTACCCACATAGCCTGAGTGGTGAATCACTGGGTTTTTTTTCAAGACTTTGTCCTTGTCCAAAATAAAAGCTGATCACTTTATCTGTATACTTGATCAAATATTGAATAAAAATTGAACTAAAATAAAAATCAGACCTAACTGAAAAGAAGCAGTTGCTATTTTTTTATTGATGTCCAAAACTTAGTACAGTTAAATAAGAAAAAGGAAATTTACATCCTTCACAATGGATCATTTAATATTTTTTTTCACTTTTAAAAATAACATTTTACTTAGCATGGAATACTTTTTTAAAAAAAAAAATATTTATTTCTGTTTCTGCTCTCTTTTCTTTTTGTGCTCTTATTACATTTGATCTATTCCTGAGCTTTTCAACAGATTTCTTTCCTCTTCTGATATCCCAAATATCTGGGTTTGCTTGCAGGAGAAGATTAACAAATGCGTGGTGTTACTGAAAGTTTGGTGCCTTTAGCCAAGTTTCAACCTTTCATCCCATAGCCTCTCTGTGCTGCTTTTGGTAATGCAGTTAGGATAGCTTGTGTTACCTGTCCCTTTCATTCCTGGCCTTTGAAGAAAGAAATTTGTTGAGTTTGTTTTTTTTTTTTGTTTTTTTTTTTTTTGGTTGGTTTTTATGTTTTTCTTTTTAAATTTTACGAAACATTGTGTCTTTCAGTTCCTGTTTCTTTAGCAGAATTTATGGATGCTATCTGTATTTTGTAGAAAGACTTGGCTCTTCTAAAGGCCAAGGCTGGTTTTAATCTGTTAAAAACTCTTATATTGCTCATTAACTACAGAGACAGGAAAAAGCTGTACTGTAAAATCAGTACCAGTGAAATTTACCTTATGAAACCATCTCTGGTTTTATTTATTGCTGTTTTTAGAAAAGGTGAAGCTTCTCGTTCTTTCAGCTGCAGCTAATGAGAATGATGTTCCATTTGAAATAACTGAGTTGCTGTCTGCTTTCTCACACTACTGGCAAAAATATGTCTTTCAGTGGTGTTTTTCAAGATAATTTTCCTATTCATCTCCTCTAAATTAGCATGTTCCTGAAAACCTGCTGAATGCCTTTAAAATGAGACTGATTGCAAGGTGTGTCAGCACCAGATTATCATTTACACTGCATTGTCTCTTCCTTGGAGAGTCATTGAAATAGTGATGTAGAAATTCCTGTACTGGTTAAAGCCATGGCTGATGTAAAATGTAGGACGTTTGAGGGTTTGCCTTTCTTCTTTTTTTTAAAATTTATTATTTTCTTCCAGAGATAATCCTAGACATTAGTCTTGCTTTAGACACCTCTTTTTGGGGTTATGGTTTGATCTTGAAGCCAGTGAAGTTTTTGGTGCATAAATCTGTTTCATGGTATTAGCTTATTTCTATCTACTTACCTACAACTTGTATTCTTTTCTTGTATCCTGTCTACTTACCTACAGATTGTTTTCTTCTGTTTGTGGCTCAGCCCCGTGGCGTGGCTTAGTACTGGGCTTTTAATGACCATTTCTTTTGGTTGATGCATTGGGTCACTATCATAAGACTCTGAAGCAGTGACTGAGTTGGATACTGTTAGAATTCACTCTCCACCATCCTCAAGACAAGGCATTACATAGTCAGATGCTCTTTTCTCTTTTATTGGATTCTCCTGTATTGCAGGGTGCATTTTCCTTTTGGTAAACATTTTCTGTCTTGAGTCACTTTTAAAACTAGTTAATTAAGGTGTTAGTACTCTGTATACACTCAGTCTGTTTTTTACCCCAGCACTGTCTTCAGTTCCTGTTGTGCACCTTCATGTAACATGTTTGGGTATTTCTTGGTTTGCCTGTCCTATATAGATTACTGCTGGCTTTATGTACACACTGATCTAGAGAGAGAGTTTGGACACATTTTTCATTAATCTGTTCTCTCACAACTCCTAATTCATACACTCAAATACTTGCTCATTGAAGTTGTACAACTAAAGTAATTAACTTACTGTTTTTCAGGTCTTCATATCCTTGCATTGGCCTTTCTTTTGCTGCTTGCTTGCTTTCCTCTTCTGCCTGCTGTACCAACCTATACTTGTGATATTTTTATTTTTATTACTGCTTATTTCTTAAGGTTTTTTTTGCAAGCATAACAGCAGCCAAGGAAGGATCTATCAGTTGGGCAATACAGATGAATGGGATTGTGTAACTCTAGTCAAGGGTAACACAATTTGTTCGCAGTGTACTGAAGCTTTGATTTTGCTAAAAGGTTTACTAATAGCCACAAGAATTTGTAAGTAGACTGTGAACTTGAAGAAAGATTGTTTGGGCTGATGTACAAACATTAGTGACTACAGAAAATGATTACTGGTACTAAGTACATGCTAATAATACACTTATATTACTTTTAGATTCACCATATGGATAATAATTCCCTAGTTTAATAAAACGTTTAGTCACGGTAACATTCAGTATTCTTACGGAAACTGATTGGAAATGGCTTCTTATGCTGATGATTTAGTCATTTGTTGAGTGCTAGGTTTCTTTAGTATGTTATCAGTTTCTAGTGCAATGCTATATAGGAGAGTATTTATTACTTCACAAGATCAGAACAGACAGCTGGGAATATTAAACCTTCATATCTGGCTCAAGGACAGAAATGAAATTGTTTTTTTCTGCCCAGAATGTTGAATATTTTTCCTTAAAGAAAGCTCATGATAGCTATCTCCCTTTCAGTTTTCAAAGATTATATTATAAATGTTTAAGTGGAAACAATTGCTGGCATCTTTTTAATATTCTGAACTACAGTGTCCTTTTTAGTTGAAGCTGCACGAACTTACTGAATTTAAACTTTTTGGCTGGTGTCATACCAGACTTCCTAAAACAAACCATCTTTGTTGAGTTGCCAATAAATAGGATCGTTTTCAAATCAAGTGTTCTTTCTCCCCACTTCCTCCCCCACTAAGGAGTCAGATTTATGTTGAAAATTTCTTACCAGTCCTAATCACATTGACATATCTGAGGCAATATAATAATTATTTAAGAAGTAAATATTGATAAAAGTTATTAACATATAGAAAAACTAATATGTCTAACCTTTTAAATAATTTTTCTTTTCTTTTAAAGGATATCTTGTCCTTTCAGAGGAAAGGATATGCATACCATGTACATTGGCCTGGAGTCAGGGAAGATTGTTGGGTTTTGTAATGCAAATATCTTCTTACTGGAGCTGACTTTTTAGTTTTGCATTGCTTTCTGTCTTCCTGGGATCAGTTGTTCAAACCAGCTTGACATGAATGTCCCACTTGATGCATACAAACATCAAACTCTTGAAAATTACAGATATGAAACGATATTTACCTTTGGAGATGATAAGAGAGAGTTTGTCGCTTGGAAACTGTGATACATCAAAAGGTGCTTTTCTGTTAACTTCTGAACAAATGAGAATGTACAGTCTACAAAAACTTTGTTAGTATAGTGTGCACAAAGTGTAATTTGACTTTACATGATGGAAAAGTACAAGACTTGGCCAACGATGTCCAGTTTAAAACAAAAAGTTTGTTTATGGAGCCATTTTTTTTTTCTTTACTCTTCACAGAATAAGGTGCTATTTGCATCAACAGCTGAATTAACTTATGGGAATTATGGATTTATTTTCTTTATTCGGGAAACCTTGTCTCAAAAGCACACCCCTTGGACAAAAATGTACGTAGTTAGTTATATATTGCAACATATTAATACAGGCAGGACTTGTGTTGTCTGTTTTAAGTGTTGACAGGTGCTGTCATTCCAACCAACCATCATTTCTCTGCTGTGGGAATTGCCATCGCTGGACTACCTTCACAGATTGCTCCAATATGACACACATTTCAGTTACCTCCGATCAGATGTTCTGTTTAAACAGGTGTCATACCAAACAAGATCAATGCCGTTACCATTATGGCTTAGTTTGAGATATCCTGGGGAATACTTGAGCTATTGGTTCTGTCAGTAGGCTTTTTACAGGTTTGGATTTTTGTTTTGTTTAGCTGCTCATGTTTCTCACCTGGAGAATGTGTCTGAAGAAGAAATGAATAGGCTTCTGGGGATTGTTTTGGATGTGGAATATCTGTTCACCTGTGTCCACAAAGAAGAAGATGCAGACACCAAGCAAGTTTATTTCTACCTGTTCAAAGTAAGCTGAACTCGTGTAATATCTTCTCACGTTTTTCACTCTCACACATAAGCCAATTTCACTGCTCCTCATGCATGTATTGACTATCTGCTGAGACTTTTTCTCTAGAGTGGTGCTCTAGTGGCTAACCATGGGCTAGACCTTCTGGTACTTGCAGTGCACCCAATTGTTCTCCAAAAGTCATCCAACTAATTGAGGAGCTGATCATGAGACCCATCTATAAACTCGGCGACCTGCAAGCCTTACCCTCTTCACTCACACATTGGGAAATTCAGTTGACATAAATGCTAATTTAGCTGCCTACATTTGCTCAGAGGAGCCTCTTGCATGCATTTCAAAGAAGGTGAATTCACAGTGAAGATCAGTAGCTATAAATTTTGATGACTAAACCAGCAGATACAGAGCCAGGAGATTTTCAGTACTGTTTGCAGTAGGTTGTGCACCTGTGACTTCCATGCAAATATGCTAATTTTTTTTAAAAATGTATATTTTTAACAGCTTTTGAGGAAGTGCATTTTACATATGGGAAAACCTGTAGTAGAAGGATCTTTGGAAAGTCCCCCATTTGAGAAACCTAGCATTGAACAGGTAAACAGTCAAAATGTGGGTTTGGTCTGTTGTTTTGTTTTGGGCTTTTTTAAATTTTTTTTTTTTTAAATTTTTTTTATTTCTTTGGTGAGGTTTTTGGGGTTTGGTTTGGTTGGGGTCTTGTGTTCATTTTTTTTTTAGACATAGGCACTGGTTTTGAAAACATGGCATTTTAGGGAGTTTGTAGATGTTTTTGTGTATTACTTAGAGCAAAGTAGGAGACTTCTGATGCTTCTCCTTTAGTGTTGGTACAATAGTTATATTATTTGACTTCTCTCATTGTTCATCTTAGGCTTTAGTGGAAGTTACTTTTTCTATGGTTTTAGAGAATGAAATTAAAATGCTGCTTTTATGTGTGGCATTCTAATCTTTCTTTGTTTCAAGTGTTGAAAAATGCTATTGAAGTTTTGAAATCCAATATTAAATGACACTTTTCTTCTGTAAATCAATGCAAATGTTACAATCCAATTCAGTGAGATCATACTCTTCTCTTTCAGAGGGTACACAATAAAAAACAAAGCCAAACCCAAAGAATAACTGAGGCTTTTGTAACTCTCAATGGATGAAGAACATATGACAATTCAGATTTTGGTTAAGCAAGCTCCTGAGAATGCACTTCTGGCACACAAGTGGGCTGATTAGCTCCAGTGAGACTATGCAGAGGCTCACATACCTCACTGAAACAGGAGCTCTGTGTTTTCCCATCAGTGGATGAATGGATGTTCTATTGTTAAACAGAGTATTTTGAGTGTGAAGACTGTTATATGCATTAATTGTTTCCTTGCAACTCTCAATTCTTAAAATTTAGGAAAACAAAACCATTTTATTGCTGAATATCTGCAAAGTCTTTACCTTGAGTCCTTTAGTTTGAGTATGAACAAAGAATAAGTGTATGCGATCTCCATACACTCCTAGACTATAACATATACTATTAAAAACGTTTTGTACAATGTAATTTTTTGTCACATTCTTCATAATGTTCAGTTTGCTTAAGAAATTAAAGCATAAAGATGAAAGGGTAATTTTTCTTACAGTTTATTTTGAAATTTTCCCTTAAAATAGAATATTTTTAGTTCTATTTTTAGCAGTTCAGCAATTCAATTACACAAAAGTATTTGCTAAGCAACAGTATTATAATTCATTTATAGTATATATGTATTGCAGCACTTTTAGTCACACATTTTAACTATCTTCAGCGGTTTTTTTTAAAGTGGACAGTGTACAAAGTGTAATGAGGGGTCACACTTGTGAAATGACTGGCACTTGTTGAAGAAATAATATGATGTATAGACACAAACTTAACTAGAAGTCCACAAGCCATAGTCTACTGTTGGGAAGTAGTTGGAGAGGTTTACAGGTGATGCCTAATTTACAGAGGAAATAAATCATGTGTTGTGTTTACTAGCAAAATTGTGCATGTGTGAGCATATAGAATAAAGACTAGTAGAGTGTTCTATGACAAAGGTTTTTACTTAGAGAGGCAGGGAAAAAGAAATATATTTCCTTCTTTGCCTTTACATCAGCTGCTGGAGGTAGATAGAATTAAAAAAATCTTGAAGTAACTGCTGCTGTGCACAGGGGAACCAGCCTGTGGCAGCTACACTAGTAGCTGAACAAAGAATTCATGGGATCTGGGATTTATTTTCTTTCCCATGTAATGCAAGTTCAAGCTTAATAAACATAAATGTTTGAGGACAGTCCTACAAAAATTATGGCTAATATTGAAACATTTTCTTCTGTCTTAAGGGTGTGAATAATTTTGTGCAGTACAAATTTAGCCACTTACCCTCGAAGGAAAGGCAAACGATAGTGGAACTGGCTAAAATGTTTCTGAACCGCATTAACTACTGGCACCTGGAGACACCTTCTCAGCGAAGACTAAGGTCACCCAATGATGATATTGCAGGGTATAAGGTGAATTACACCAGGTAATGCTGCTTTTGCTTACTACAAGTCTTGCACATGCACTTTTGAGGAGTACAGCAGTATCTGTGCACCACAGGTGCACCTTGCGAATTTTTGCAGTCATGGTGTTTATATGAAAGCCTGATGATTTCAGTGAGACTCTATCAGAGTTTCCCATGCACCCTTGTGTGTTTAGAGGTGTGCTTTATCGGCCAGGAACAGGCAGTAGAGGTCATGAACATCTGCATCTAACAACGCTTTTGCATGTCCTGTGTTTGCAAAGTTGCTCTTGGTCTTCTCAAGATATGAGGCTCATGTAAGATCCTTGTTTCATGTACTAAGATTCAGGCAATTTGTTATTCAACTTAAAAAGAAAAGAAAGAAGATAAAACGTTTTAAAGTGTCACAGTTTGAAACCAAATCATAGAAGATTTGGAAAATTATAATAATTTTGTAAGTGTTTGAATGCTAAGTAGGAAATCGATATTATTAGGTTCCTTAAAATGATAGGTCTTGTTATGACCCTTTTATATGATGTCAGAATTCAAAGGAATAACTTGGTCACTGAGGGAAGAAGAGCTAGGAAAAAAAGCCAAGACCCTTAATTTTGCTTTTCCCTGGGAAAAAGTAACAATAGTGCAAGCCCTTTTTCAGTTAGCCCAGGGACAGCAGTTACCGTTCCTGCCCGTGCAGGCGACAGTTAACGTACGGCCTGTGAGCAGGGCCAGCGGTTGGCCAAGGTCCCTGTCAGCAGCCTCTTCCCAGCAATCCACAGGGACAGTTTTCCGGGCTGAGGATGAGCACGGCCTTCTGCCTGCTTTTCTAGGGGCCTTTCCTCTGAAAGACTTCACCTCCATGAGGGAGAACAGCAGACTCTGCTGCGAGTTGAAACTGTGGCTGCGGACAGTCTGCTGTTGAGACAGCAGGCTCTGCTCTATCTGTGTCCAACTGGGATGCTCTCAGGTGACCTGTCACCTCAAATAACTACCTGGTGTAGAGAATGGTTACTAATAATCCATGTGGCTCCTAGAAACATATTTGGTGTGTCTTTGACCTGCATTTGTTTGTGATACAGATGTTAGGTAGCCAGGGTTGGGTGGAGTCAACTATTATATGGAATCAGTAATTGGCATTCTTTCTGTCTGGTGACTTTTGTTATTAATAATTTTGTCACTTGTGGTTTCTCAAGCCTTCCTGCCCACAGTCCCTAAGATTCCTTGTACCTCCTCTGTGCATCTGATCTAACCTGTCATTGTAAGTTTCTTACCTCCGTGGCGTTCGGGGCACTGCTCAGGCTGCTGAAGAAGCTGCAGTGTGCCATGGGTGCACCTCCTGAATTCTTGCAGTCACTGACTTCATTTGAAAATTCAATCATTTGAGTGAAACTGTATCAGAAATTCACACACATGCCTGTGTTTTGAGAGGCGTGCTTTATCAGCCAAGAGCAGGGAGTAGAGGTCTGGGAACAGCTGTATCTCACAACAGTTTTGCAACTCTCGTGTTTGCAAAGATTAAGATACAAGCCTTGGGGAAAGCATTTTGAGACATGCTGTTCTTTGGGTCTGAATAAGAAAACTCGTGCAGTATCCAGTACAGTCTGTTTGCATCCCATTCTTAACATTTTCAATGTTGGAGCTTTCATAATGGTTGTGATCTGATTCTGCTAAAGCTACAGCTATCACTGGCTGTTCACCTACACAAAGATACTGAAATCTTGTTTATAAAACTAACAGATACTGTGGCCTACACATCTAGTGTGCTCCTGATTTACCTCTTCAGTACCATGATCACTTTTCCAAGAAGAGTAACAACATGCTTTATTTTCATATGTACTTCTTAAGGCAAAACTTACTTTGGAGGGAGTTACTGGTAAATGAAAGAGTATCAAATCAGTGTGGAAGAAGCCAGATGGTCAGAGACAAGGGTGGGAGCTCAGTTGGATTGAGGTGGAGCTAGTAAAAAGTGTTACCCCTTTTGCATCTCTCTGGGAAAATGTAGAAGTTTAAAGAGGGGAAAATGAGCCAGGCTAAGGGTGTTTGGAGCTGCAGGCAGGAGACGTGAGAGGCAGAATGAATGAGCTGCGGAGAGAATCCCTGATACCAACACAAGTTTTATGTGATCTGTGATTATTTTCTCCAACAAGAGTGTTTTGTGGAAACTAGACTGCAGAGAAAAGAATATATACAGACTTAAAAGTACTTGGCTGTCATTTCTTAAAAAAAAAACCTGGGCACTGTAAATGCTGCTTAACTCTGTCTGGATTTGATGTGGAGCTGATTTATACAGCCATATAGCTCTCAGCTGCATTATAAATTACATGGGTAGTTGTTTTATTGCACTAATTCATATGCTAGATGGTGATAATCATCTGGCTTTTTTTCCTCTTTACAGGTGGCTTTGTTATTGCAACGTCCCTCAGTTCTGTGACAGTCTACCTCGATATGAAACCACCCAGGTTTTTGGTAGGACATTGCTTCGCTCTGTTTTTACCGTAATGAGACGGCAGTTGCTGGAGCAGGCCAGGCAAGAAAAAGACAAGCTTCCTCAAGAGAAACGAACACTAATCCTCACCCATTTTCCAAAGTAAGGGGTCGCAGTGTGCCTGCATTCAGGGTTAACCAGTAGCATGCAGCTTTGGCATGGAAATAGAAAAAGTCACCTGCAGCTTAAAATAATTCCTCCTTTTATTCAGTAAGAAGTAGATGCTGCAGCTTTCTTTTCTGCCATAGCTTGAACTAGTGTTTGTTACGTACACAGCCACTTGTTTTGCTTTGTCCTAGGGCTTTACTTTATGGAAGGGATTATTCATCTTGGTGGGGGATTGTGCTTGTTGCCTGTTAGCAGGTACTGTTGATCATTTACTTTCTTTTTCTGTAGTCCTTGGAAACACCAGAAGGCCAGATCTCATAAAACATTTTGCTGGTTTCTGCTTTTATGATGGAGAAGTAAAAAAGGGAGTGTTGTGCTGGGGTTTATGTACACCTAGGAAGTCTAGTTTATTTCAACGTTGTAATAGGGAACAAGGTATTCACCCCACCCCCAGAAGGCATGTTCATTTGACAACAAAAAGAGTAGTCAGTATAAAGCTGCATCAGGGAATCCTAAACTCATTTGATTTCATATTGGTTACCTGTTACAGTACTTGAATACTGATGATGGTTTCTCACAATTTACAACAATTACATGTTAGGGTATGTGAGAGAATGATTTGTCTTAAAACATGCTCAACTTTGACAATACTTAATTTCAGCATTTTACTGGTAGTTAAGGGTGGTGTTGACAGGATCGTTCATTGTATGCTCCCTTTTAAAACAGTATATCACTTCAAAAATATTCGTATTTTGTGAGGATGGCTTAGCTCTCTAGCCCATATTTTAAAAGTCTGTCGATCCTAACAAAGGAACTGAACCTATAGGAGAGCCAGTGGCACTAATACTGTGCAAGCTGCTGTCTGGGGCTAGAGTTGGGTTATTGCTCAGAGGAATGAAAAACAACCTGAGCTTTCCAAAGCTGGGTAGAACCAGGATTTGTTGCTCCTACTATTAATAGTGCCATTTACCACTTTGAAGTATGTAAACTGTCTCTGGGGTAGACTGTTATGGATACAGGAATGTTTGTGTGTAGCTGGGAATTGGGTCATGATCTGGCCCTGAAATAGGTATAAAAAAGGATTTAACAGCACACTGACACAAGCAGCAGTTTTGCAGAGGAAGGAGGTGTGCATGTGACCCTATACATTGCCTGTGCAGCCTAGATAAGTAGTTTGAAAAAAATTATTATTCACTGCTGTTCATTTTAATATTCTGCTGTGGAAAAAAAAAAAAGAAACAGAAGCAGTATTTGCAGTGGGAAATAGGAATAGCGTTTTAAATCTTTTATGGGCTGTACTTACCTGGAGCATTTGTCTCTGCTGATGTTATGCAGAGTGATCCCTGCAGAGGAGCTGCAGAGCTGGTGTCTGGCCTCGATGTGGGGCTCCCAGATGCCCTGGCCCCTCCTTCCTGGGCAAAGGGAGCACCCCCAGGTTGTGTCTGTATGTACCGAGGAAATAGTCACCAAGGAGTCTGCACACAGAGCTGCTGTGCTGCCTGTAAATGTAGTCTGGGAAAAAGCTTAATTTGTGCTTCTGCTCCATCACAGACAATCAAGTAGCTGTTACAAACTTTTTAGCCATTATCAGCTGTATAGATAGCAGCACACCACCCATTGCCGTGCTTAGGTGTAAATGTCCTATATATAAAATACAAGAGTAGGACTTGATCCTGGAAATCCTTATCTTGTTCAAGAAAGCCTTACTCAACAGTTCTGTTGGTTTCAGCTGGACAGTTTCTATACATATAGATAACGCTAGACAGTAAAAATCTGCCTTGTCAACTTCTGGTCTGAAAACCCTTTTGTGCAACACAGGATAAGCAGCTATCTTGCTTCTGCAAGGGAGTTGATGTATTAGCCCTGTGAAGGCAAGTGTGCTGGATAGTCCAATCTGTGAAATTTTTCTCACACATAATACTAAGAGAGGTTTAAAATCATGCTGTATCTCTAAGTGTACCAAAATAAGATTAGAAATAATGTTACACAAGCATGAACAAGCAATTAAATGTTACAGTAGGACACTTAAAGGAATGAAAGTATCTTCCTGAGAGAGTATCTTCCTAGTAACAGATTTTATAAATCTGTAAGAGGCAGAAAGCACATGCATCTGCAAAACAGTGGTTTGTCAAAATAGATATATTTTGCCATCATTGTGTAATATGATTACCTTGGCATCTCTCACATAGCTTTCTTATTAGTACACAGTTGTGTTCTGTAAAAGTAGTTTGTAACTGTTTCTGCATTTGCAAATAAGATAAATATTGCTTATACTCAAAGATAAATTTTCTTAGGCAAAAGCACTCTACAGAATTAGCATACTTAATGTCTGCTCTGCATTTTGTGTGTGTGTGTGTTTGGCTTTTCTAAAAAGGAATTGGCCAACAGCATTTCTTTTTTACTGAATCAGTAAATATTCTTAAATTAAAAATAAAAAAGTTGCAAATACGTACTCTGAAGAATGGCCTGTTTTGAATGATCCTGTTAATATTTCACCTCCTTTTCTGTCTAGGTTTCTGTCGATGCTGGAAGAAGAAGTGTACAGCCAGAATTCTCCCATTTGGGATCAGGATTTTATGATGTCTAGTTCCCGAACTGGCCAGCTGGGAATCCAGACAGGTAATTTGTATTTAGTGATGTGTTAGGGAACACCTGAATATAAAGATGAACCTGTACACGTGATGGGTTCTAAGGAGCGAGACCTAGATATGCAGTTATACAAATAGCCTGTACTGAAGTCAGTCTGCCTCGAGTAAACACAGATGTCTGACTTTCTAGTGCTTCCTCATATGAAGATCCTATTTTCATGATGAAAGTCAGCTAATTGAATGTGCCAGTGGAGCAGGCTGAGTGCTGAGACCAATCATCTGAGTAGTTAAAGTGGCACAAGTGCACTCAACGCGGGCAAGTGAGAATGATCAGTGGGCAAATGGCTGCAGCGGGTCACCTGCTAGACAGTGGTCCTGTTGCATGAGGACCTATGCCAGTCCTCTGTCTCTCTAGCAGTGGGGAATTAGGGATGTTCCACTTGAGATCTCATTGTCTTTGCACAAATACCTTTGATTTCCTTGTGTGTTCTTTTTTTTTTTTTTTTTAGTAGCTTTTCCTTGCTTTGTTACTTACTCAAGTGTCTCATTGGCTATTCTGCAGCTTTATTCACTTTTCTTCAGTTAGGGTCCTTGGGTGTAAGTCATCTGTAAAATTGCAGAGAGACGTTGATGGTGGTTTTCTTTCCACTTCTATTCCTTCCTGCTCAAAAGTGTGTAAATTCCATTTATGCAGCTCAGGGTTTGACTTCAATTTCCAAGTATTTAATTCGATATTTTGTAACAATTCAGTACTTGGAAACAATTGTTGATATCAGTTGACAAAACCTTCATATCAGCGCTTTATCTGATAGCAAATTTCTTGGAGTAGGAGGGTAATTCTACTGTGACAGATACAGGCATTTTTTTTTGGTGAGAAATTCCTGGTCCGCACCATGTAATAGTAAATTATGCCTTAGGTACAGGTTCACTGAAACTCTAAAATCATGTTGCTCTCAGAGTTCATTCGGTCGTGTATGTTTCTGCAGTGCTTCATTTTAATGTACACCTTTTAAGCACTGGATTCTTGCCATGAATACAGTACAAAAGAGCTGTTGCTGGTGATGACACCAGGATAAAGGCATGCAATGAGAAAGATTGCAGGTGTCCAGGCTATGAGGTGTCACCTCAAACCTCCATTCTGCCTGCCAGAAGTCCTGACACAAATGAAGACTGAATGATTTGGGATAAGTGTTTTGTTTTGTTTTGTTTTGTTTTGTTTTGTTTTGTTTAAAGGCAAAACAAAACAAAACCAAAACAAAAAAAAACCCACACCACATTAGAGAGAGAGATATTAGTTTGTAGCCTTTAAAAATAATAGTTTTTTCCTCTTAACTGGCAACAGCTTCTCCCTTTATTGAGTTTGATTTGTCCAACCAGTCTTTGAACACTGTTAAAGTGGACAGCTGAAGCAGAATGATGAGATTTTGCTATTCAGTAGACCCTTACAAAAAGCCTTTTCATGAAGCTGAATGCCAGCAGGTTTGGCAGGTATGTGAAGGAAGTTTGTTTTCTTAGCTTGTGCTCAGCACTGCAGAATAATCAAGCCTGATATTTGTAATGTCTGTCATCCAGCAGAAATATAGGCCATCATTAGGTGGAAGTTTAGAAAAACATGTTGAGATAAAGCTTTAATCCTCTACTTGTGAACTGGCGGCATTGCTCTGTTGCACAATGTTGGCTGTTACTTCTCAGGTGGTGGGTGTGAAGTTGGGTCCATCGTTGTAACAGTCATGGAATGAGAACTGTAATGGGTTCCATGTCTGCATTTTATTGATTTTGTCTTTTATGCCACTGCAGTTATTAATCCTCCTCCTGTTGCAAGATCAGTTTCATACACTGCAAGTCCTTCATCTCTGGAACAACCCAACAGTGGTAATATGAGTCCTGCTTGCAAAGTTTCTTCTGCCCTTGACCCAAACCTAGGTAAAGGAGAGGGGGACTTGCTTTTTGGCTTCTGTCAATGTTATCAATAGTTGCAGTATGTGGTGGCCATTGCCTTCGCTCTGCAATAGGGACTTTGAGGTGTTATGCTAAAAGATAATAGTAACATAGTAACTATACATACTAACTTTTTCTTCAATGTGCTAATGTTTACCTAACAGAAATGGCAACTCTATTTGAGAAAAAATTGTTTAAACTAAAGTCAGGAAAGGTCTACTGGTGCCAGAGGTGGTTGAAAAACACTTTACTTTGAGTGCATTATTATGAGCCTTCAAAAAAGGTTACACTTAAATAAGAGTAGACAGGGCTGTTGCATTTTTTGTTTGTTTTAGTTATTTCAAAGTACTGAAATTGCATATTTTTGAGCAATAAAAAAAAGCAGAAACATGCCAGCCAGGTTAAATTTAAAACCTCAATGAGGTCAGGAAAAAAAAAGGTTTTGGGAAAAAAAGTTGTTGAATGCATAAGTTATCCTGATGAATCCTTTTTCAAACACCTTAGGATTAATGAGCCTGTCAAGAGAGTTTGTAGGTCAGAGAGATGATCATGAGCTTATGCAAAGTAAGTCTTCAAGAATGTAGAAAAATATTAATCAATTTTTAGCCCCAGTGTTCACTACAGAGGAACTTAAGGTAGCTCTTAAGCTACAGCTTTCTTTGAGGGACGAGTTGGAAAATGGTCTTGAAAGAGGGAATGAGTAGAAGATTTTTTTTTTTTCATTGCAGATCAGCAAAATGAGTAGTTAGTACTAGAAAGATTTTTTTTTTTTTGAGAGTTTGGAAAGAAATAGAGAATTGACAAACTAAGTTGTGCAGCTGAGCTGTCATTGGAATTGCACTTGGCACTACAGAATTGAAACACCACAGATACAAAACTAATCTTTTAGGGGGTTCTAAGAGAATTCAGGAGACTGTCAATTTTAAGTTTCCTATTTCAGGAATAGGAAGAAATAGAAGAAACAGTAATAAGCTGATTTAAGAATGGAATAAATGAATGTGTGAGCAATGTGATGCACAGAAATTCAGTGTGCCTTTTGTAGAACTCATAACTTGCACATATCTGTGAAGGGATTAAAAAAAAACACCCAAAATTAAAGAATATAACAGAAGTCCTGCACTTCATAGTGCTATTCTGTGACAGCTGGGTTGTTTCTAATTTATCCTGGTTTTGTTTTGTAGGGGAAAAGAGAAAAAATAATGAACCCTATTCTCTGGAGGATTCCAAAAGACCAAGGGTGGTAGGAGATATTCCTATTGAGTTAATCAATGAAGTAATGTCAACAATTACAGATCCTGCAGCAATGCTTGGGCCAGAGGTGAGAAATACATCCACTTGGTGTTGCAACAGGTCTGTTTGTAAATGGCCTTTTTTTAATAAATGTTCCACATGAATAGAGCATGGTAAGTTAAGACTCCACGAAACTCATATGCTGTCAATAAGAAGAATAGTGAGGAAAAAGTATTGAAGAAATTCATCATTAACATGAAGAATAGTTCTACCTTTTTTTTTTTTTTCACTATTGTGTACTGTTTGCAAAGAGATTTGGAAAGCAGTGATAATAAAAAGGTAGATCCCAGGTTATTTTGCAAGGTACTTTAGCTACAGAACAGCTCCAGAGTTGGGGTTCAAATATTGCAGCAGAATAAAAAAAATCTCAAGTTAAAACCTGTGCCTAGTGCAGAAGGGCTGATTGAAACAGTTATTTGATCTGTCTTCCACAGTTGCTCTTTTTTTCTGCTGGAAGAGAAAAACAAACAAAATTGCAGATTTGTACCATGTAGAGAATTGCACACTTTTTTTTTGGCTGCCTTTTCCTCCTTCTGTTCCCTTCGCCAAGCTGTGTTTTGCCAGCAGCTCTCGTTTGCCAAGGTTTAGCTAGAGACTGCTGAATATTTGGAACCACCTACGTTTCTTACTCAAACTATATACTGTGACTGATGGCTCTGCATATTACAAATGCTGTGCCAGTCTGGCACAGACTGGGGCTGGCAGGGACTAGAAACCTAGCAGCCAAATTTTCCTCTAAAAAGTAAACAGTATGTGCAGGCAGAGGTGTTTTGGCATTGTAAAATGATCTTGAAAAAAAAAAAGAGTGAAATAAATCGTCTGTATTAATTTCATCTCCATTCAAATATTTGGATGTGACTGCTAGATATGTAACAGCAAAATCAGGAGGAATTAAAATGTTATTTTTAGGCTTTTATGATAGTGGCATAGGTAGTGGAGAGCACTGCTAAAATGAAAAAATATGACTTGGTCTGCACCACCCTTAAAATATGTGATTTGCAGTATGTCTTGGTGAATCCACTACTTTTGTCCAGGGTGGCTAGACTGAAGAAAACATGAAGAATTAGTGGCATAAGCTTCAACTGGATGAGTGCTGTTCCCTGACAGATGTTAGAACTTGTTGAGTTGTAACCATCACTGTTGTTACCTCATCTTTACTAAAAGAAATTTGAACAAGCTTGTGTACACGGTAATGTAGACTTATATCCAACTTATTTCACAGCGTCACTTCGACTAAAAAAAAAAAAAATCATCATTGTCAGGTCTATTTTTGTAAAAAGATGGCTTGGAAAAAAAGAGGTTTTGTTTGTTCATTAGAGCTGTTCTGTCAGAGGATGTGAAATCCCCTGAATGTGATTTTGTTCCTCTCTTGTGTGGCACAGACCAACTTCCTCTCGGCGCATTCTGCCCGGGATGAGGCAGCGAGGCTGGAGGAGCGCAGGGGGGTGATCGAATTCCATGTGGTTGGCAACTCCCTGAACCAGAAGCCCAACAAGAAGATCATGATGTGGCTGGTTGGTTTGCAGAACGTGTTTTCCCATCAGCTGCCTCGAATGCCAAAGGAGTACATCACACGCTTGGTCTTTGATCCGTGAGTACCACTGGGGAGGAGTTTGGCAGGTGAGACAGAAGAGCCTGATGCTGCCTGATGCAGGCAGTGGTGAAGGAAGGAAGGAGCAAGGTGACATGGCATGGAGAGCAGCTCTGCCTCTGCTAGCCTTTTCCCATCTTTCCAAGCCCCTGTAACTCTTGGACAATCTAATTGAATTGTACCCAAATACTATCTCAGTAGATGTATTAATGACAAGTGGCTTCTTGTTGTGGGACTGTGGTGGGTTGACTCTGGCTGGATACCAGGTGCCCACCAACACTACTCTATCTGTCCTCTCCTCAGCTAATCAGGGGAGAGAAAATAAAACAAAAGGCCCGTGGGTCGAGACAAAGAGAGGGAGAGAGCACTCACCACTTACTGTCACAGTCAAAACAGACTCAACCTGGAGAAAGCTAATGTAATGTGTTGCAAATCAAGTCAGAGTCAGATAATGAGAAAATAAAGACTAAACCTTAAAATACCTGCCCCCCTGCCCCCTTCTTCACAGGCTTAACTTTACTCTGGAACTCTACAGCTCCTCCCCTGCAGCAGCACGGGGTGACCGGCAGTGGGGCCGGCTGGCTCTGGCCCTGTCAGACACAGGGGAAGCTTCTGCAGCTCCTCACAGGACCCGCCCGAGTGGCCCCCCCACTACCAAAACCTCCCCCTGCAAACCCAATACAGGGACCTGGCTCTGCAGGGAAGGCTCCTACCTATCCTGTACTTTAGAATGTTAGAACTGAAAGCCAGAAAAGAGTTATGGTGCTTGCAAGTGGTTTCCAGACCCCTAGTAACTTGCAGGCTGCTCCATCCTCTGAGCAGATCATGAACCAAATGTTTTTCAGTGAGGAGAACTTGTGGGATTTATGAAGAACAGCAGCATTTAAACAGCATGGGAGAAATTACTCCTTGGCAATACTCCCTTGGTGTCAGCAAATGCTGCTGCTGGTTCTGTGCTATTGCCAAAGCACAAACAGCCCAGTCCTGGGGACTGTTGTACAGGACTTTGGTCTCCAGGCAGAGGAGACTGGTCTTGGGGCCTTCTCCTGGGTTCTTCAGAGGGTAACAGCACTCATGTCATGTCACCAGTCCAGACTCTTTTATCTCTGCTACGTGGATGTGAGCACCACTCGGGAGTTTGGTACTCCAGGATCTTGTCTGAGTTTTGGAGCCTGAGCGGCACTGTGATCTCAAGCAGGGGCTACTGGTTGAGGAGGCCAGGCTTCTTCATAACCAAACATCAAAGCAAAATTCCGAAATAGTGGTGTCCAGCCATGGCCTTCTCCTGTGTTTCTTTCTTGGAATCATAGAATGGTTGAAAAGGACCTTAAGGATCATCTAGTCCCGATCCCGCTGCCATGGGCAGGACCGTCTCTCACTAGACCAGGCTGCACAAGGCCCCATCCAACCTGAACATCCACTTTACATCCACTGATGTAAAATCCACAACTTCCCTGGGCAGCCTGTTCCAATGTCTTACCGCCCTCCTGGTGAAGAACATCTTTCTTATGTCTAATCTGAAACAACCTTCTTCCCGTTTGAAGCCATTAGCCCTCGTCCTACCACTACAAGCCCTTGTGAAATGTCCCTCCCCAGCTTTCTTGTAGGCCCCCTCCAGATCCTGGAAGGCTGCAGTAAGGTCTCCCCAGAGCCTTCTCTTCTCCAGGCTGAACAACCCCCACTTCTCAGCTTGTGCTCATAGAAGAGGTGCTCCAGCCCTCTGATCATCTCTGTGGCCCTGCTCTGGACCAGCTCCAACAGGTCCATGTCTTTCTTGTGTTGGGGGCTCCAGAGCTGGACACAATACTCCAGGTGGGGTCTTAGGAGAGCAGAGTAGAGTGAGAGAATCACCTCCCTCATCCTGCTGGCCATGGTTCTTTTGATGCAGCCCAGGATACAGTTGGGTTTCTGGGCTGCACTCACACATTGTTGGCTCTTATTGAGCTTTTCATCAACCAGCACCCCCAAGTCTTTCTCCTCAGGACTGCTGTCAATCCATAGTCCACCCAGCCTGTCTCTGTGCTTGGGATCACCCTGACCCAGGTGCAGGACCTTGCACTTGGCCTTGATGAACTTCATAAGGTTGGCTTGGGCCCACCTCTCAAGCCTGACAAGGTTCCTCTGGATGGCATCCCTTCTCCCCAGCACGTTGACTGCACCACACAGACTAGTGTCTTTCACAAACTGGCTGAGGGAGCACTCAACATCACTGTCCATGTCACTGACAAAGACGTTAAACAGCACTGGGCCCTGCCCAGTGACGGGTGGTGTTCATCCCAGCTGGGTTGACAACCTGGATGCTGAGCTGTTGACCACAACTCTTTGGGTGCGTCCATCCAGCCAGTTCCTTACCCACCGAGCGCTGCATCCATCAAATCCATGTCTCTCCATTTTAGAGACCAGGACGTTGTGCAGGACAATGTTGAATGCTTTGCACAATTATAGGTAGATGACATTGGATGCTCTTCCTTTATCCACTGATGCTGTAACTTCATTGTAAAAGGCCACCAAATTTATCAGGTATAGTTTGCCCTTAGTGAAGCCATGTTGGTTGCCACCAGCCACTTCCTCATGTTCCATGTGCCTTAGGAGACCCTTCAGGCTGAGAGGAATTGCTAGTGGTTTAAGTGCTTTTCAGTGTAGATGTCTGTTTGGAGAGTGGTCTGAGCTTGAGAAAGTTGTATGGATAATTGCTACAGCAAGAAAATGCTCTCCTTTTTGCACCTGAAGCAAACAGTTGACCCAAAGAAAGCAAAGCACATCTGGATACCTTGGAGTACCCAGCATCTGCTGTGAGTCTCCAGGGACACACACTGGAGACCTACGCTAAGTACTGGGTACACACAAGCCTATGTCAAGTGTGAGATACTGGTGTTCCCCTCCCAAGTTTCTTTCAGCTATTAATTACTGCCTTTAATGTTCTTATTTCCAAAATAGTCATTTGTAGTGAATCTTATTCCTTAAACTGATGAAATGTGAATAAACAAAAGTAAAAGCTTATGCAACTACATTGCCACTGCCAGTCCACAAATTAAGAGCACCAAAATAAGTAGAAGAAAAAGAAGAATACATAAAATGTACAAACCCTTCTTCAGCCATGGCACATAAAATATGACTAGTCCTAAGAGTAGCTTTTTGTGGCAAGGGCTCGCTTTTGGCATAGACCGTTCCCCAGAAAAGATACCTTCTGTAAATTTGCTGTATTGTTTATACAATTTATATGGTACCTTATACTGAATAAACTAGAGGACAGGTGCAGTGTAAATCTTTGCAGACCTTGAGGATTACACTAAAATTCTTAATTGTTGACACAGGGGTTCAGATTGCACCTTGTCATGTCTCTCCTGGCAGTCAGTGCAAGTGCAACAGAAATGGATGTTTATTCTTTTCTTTATTCCATATGGAGTGGGTGATTAGAAATAAGAAATATACTTTTTTGCTTCATCAGCTGTACTTGAAACTGATAGCTGAGTGCATGCAAGGAAACAGGAGTCCCTTAGAAAGGACTTGCTGTCCTGTAACTCCATTAATTTCTAATTTAGTTAGGGTAAAATTGTCCTGAGAACTGTGCAATGACATAATTGTCAGCAGTAGTTTCAATGAAAGTAATGCAGCTCTTATTTCTTGGATATTATCTTAGTATCTAGGAGTACTTGGCAAGGCCAGGACCTTGCTGTGTGAATAATGAATTTTATGGTAAATTCAAAGCAGTGTTAAAATAGCAACTCTTCTGTAGGTAGAAGCAGCAAACTTAACAGAGGCATATACAGTTGCATTAGCATCATGGAAAGAAGTGAATCAAGTTTCTGAAAAAAAGGAAGGTAGTGGCACTTTATGTACATGAATTAAAGTGACTTCTGTCTACTCAGGAAACACAAGACCCTGGCATTAATAAAAGATGGTCGTGTTATTGGTGGTATCTGCTTCCGGATGTTCCCCTCCCAAGGATTCACAGAGATTGTTTTCTGTGCCGTGACTTCTAATGAGCAAGTCAAGGTAAGAATAATTCTCTGCTAGAATTTATTAAACACATTTGAGTCCCACTCACTACTTCACATGCTCCTGAGTTTGTTAGTTACATTGTGTATATTGCTGAGTTGCCAAACAGAAACAGAGTTTGAAAGGTACAGTGATTCCATATTTAACACATAAAAATTAAACAAATGTGTGGATTTAGAATCACCAGCATAAGAGTAGGATTCCTTGTAATTAATTAGATAAATAAAATCTTTCTCAACGCAGCAGTAGTGGCCAGTAGTCTCCCGTCCTTGGACTGTTCACTCCTCTGTCTCCAGCAGTTGCCTCTCTGTGGAGTTTAACACCTCACAGGTGACTGAAATAAGTGTCGCTTGCGTGTGACAGTAATTTGTGTGCAATCACTTTGTGACATTACATGACTTCAGTCAAAATGAGTTATATCCAAAATATTAAGTATAGTTTTGCCTCTCAAAATAAGCACATAGTTTATTCTATACACTCTTTTTTGAGCCAGTTTCACAAGATGCTGTCTGAGCGTTGAGCAGTAGCAGCTGTGTTGAAAGAATATAGAGCACTATGAAGCTATGAAAGTTTCCTCTTACTTTCCTGGGGACTAGAGATAGATCGATGACCATTTGATTCAGGATTTTGCCTTTAGATGGTGCTGTAGCTTTATGTTTTTCAGTTGAAACTTTTAGAGCCAAGATGTGCATTAATTTAGTTTGCAGCAGCTGAACATGCAGAAATTGTGTGCCCTACTTTGATGGGAAGAGCACTGAGTGCAGAAAGGTAACACAGTAGGACTGAAAGCCTGTGGCAATTTTTAGTATTTGGGTTATATTTGATTTTATTCAGCTCTGGTGTTACAGAGCCGTGGCCTGTCATAAAAGTATCCAAGTGTTTTAGCAACTGTAAACAACAGAACATGCTTTTATTATGTCTGTTCTAAGCTTGGATAATTGATAGATGTTGTTTTCATTCTACTAAACCAATGAACTGCATTACACAAGTTAAGCTGCCAAAGGTATGTTGCAATTCTCTAGGAACAGCCTTTGAGAATATAATAGAGCAAATAAATCTAACCCCTCAGAGAGCTTGCCTAGGTTGTCTTTGCATATATAATTCACAATTTCTGCTGTTACCCTCTGGGCACCTCGTTGTATATGAAGATCTGTTGACTGTTTCTGAAAATTTGCTTTCCTACATTCCTATTTGAGTAAGGTGAACCCTACCAGCAGGTAACTGAGAAAAACTATGTGTTCATAGTGGGTGAACAGCCTACTCTTGGGGAAAAAAAAATCCTACTTTAATTCAGTTTGAGACTGGAAATATGAGTTTACTTGGAAATCTAAATAAATGTAATCTCTTGTTTACTTTGGGATTGAATGAAAATGGAAATTATTGCTGTGTGCAGTCAGAAGGCAGACTATTTATTTTATTGTGGACCAAATAATTTTCAGATGCTTATTATGGTAATAACTGTTGCACTATTCCCTTTTATGTCCTATGGTAAGTTGAGGCAGAGGCTGTTTCTGCTACAGGCACACAGAATATAGTAGAATGGAGATCTACTCTGTTCTCAGGTCAGGTTCCTCTAGAAGGAGTAATTTTGGTAGTCTTATTGCTTTGCACTTTTTAAGTGGTAAGGACTGTTATTATTACTACAATATACATAGTTTTGTTATTGGTGAAACGTGTCTATTGATAGTTGATATCTAACTTGAAAGGAAAAAAATACATGTGCACCTGGAATTACAAATTCCAGGACAACGTACCTCTTTAGAGCTATGCTTTACCTCCAGAGACAGCCTGTTTTGGTCTCTTTCAGGTTAAAAGCAAATCAGACACTGGAAGCTGTGATATTTTGTGTTCCCTGTTGGGTTACAGAGATACCTTAACAAGGCTGAAAACAGTTTGATCTTGAGTATGCCTCACCAAGTTAGTTATGAGAAAATCTTTAAAACAGGAACTAGAGGAAGGATTGCCTTTTGAAAAACAGTCTGTAATGACCCTTGGTCCACAGTTTCTAATATGTGCAGTCCCCAAAGGCTTTAAATGGCTTTTTCCTCATATGATTAACACAGGGTTATGGGACTCACCTAATGAACCATCTGAAGGAGTATCACATCAAACACAACATTCTCAACTTTCTCACGTATGCAGATGAATATGCTATCGGCTACTTCAAAAAGCAGGTAAGTCAATGTAAGAAACTACTTCGTGTAAGAAGTTAACATGTAGCAGTGATGAACTAAACACCTAGACATGACCAAGTAGTTGGATAAAATGCATAGTGCAACATTATGTGTGTATTTTTTATCTACAAAATATGTTCTGTGTTCACGGTGTGTAGTGATACTGGCTTACAATGCATTTTACTTTATTGGAATCATCTCAGTGTAGGTGTGTGGTATGGCCTATAATTAGTCAAGTCTAAAAACCAGGTGCATATAAGCTGGCTGCTGCTTCATTCATTCAGTACCTTCACTGATTCTGTAAGTATAAAGAAGGACCAGACACACCTGTGGTGGACTAGAACTGACCTCACCTGTGGTCACAGCTTCTCCTGATTTGAAGCATGAAGTTTAAGTTCAGGAAAGACTGTCATGTCTAATCTGTCAAATAGATTTGATAGATTAAGCAGTTGTCAACTATCTGGTCAGATGATAGAGAGAATATAGAGTCAGACTATTCTCAGGGAAGTACAGCAATAGGACTAGAAACAAGGGCGTAACTTTCATAAATTTCATGGGAAATTGCAGCTAGATAGAACTTTTTTTTTTTTTTTTCCTTTCTTCCAGTCTTAAGGGTGGTGGAATACTGGAAAATGTTGCCCAGAGAGGTTGTGGAACCTCTGTCCATGGCAGTCTTCAAGACTGGACATGACCTTGAGCAACCAGATCTGATGAGAAACTGCTCCAGAGCAGGGATGGGAGTAAACTCCTTAAGTCCCTTCCGACCTCAGGATCTATGATTCTCTAGATAAAGCTGATATAATTTGCTCTTCAAACATCCAAAATGAATAAAAGCTGGGCTTGTGATAGTGCTGTGAGATCTGTACAGACAGACACTTTTCACATCTGAAATGTCCCTTCCCCAGTCTGAAGGTACTCAGTCTCCATGTAGGCCTGAAGCCTTTGATGATGAGTTGTGAGACAGAAGTCCTGGTTGGGTTCTTGATTTTTACTGAGGGTTCATAAATAGCACTGTAACAGAAGAATAAAATGCAGCCAAATGAGAGTTCTACACTGCTTTTTATTGCCACAGTTAATTCTTTTGTGGGTTTGTTTTTCAATTAACTTTTGAACTGTATGAAGACTGTAGTATGGCTCTGGAACTTTTAAGGGGATTTTTTTATCTTTTCACTTTAAATATAAAAGTAAAAAAAAAAAATCATTGTCTTCTCTGTCTATAAAATTACTGTCATTGACTTGAACAGCAACTCTCCTTGATTAATGCCTACAGAACTGGCATCCTTTAATATTATAGTAGCAATTTTTTTGAAAAATCCAGGAAATTTATCCACAATAAAAATCTTTTCTTCCATCTTTTTATTTCCCCTTTCTCCCTTCTTTTCCTCTACATATATGTAATTAACTATTCTTGTATGAACTGGCTTCCAGAAGAAGGTGTTTGCAATGCTATGAACCCTAGTCTATAACTCTTTCCATTGTATTGTCTGTATTTTAAATTTATGATGGATTTGGTTCTGAATCATCGTAACATTTCAGTTAAAACAAATGTAAAAGGAAAATGGCATCATGACAACTTGAGTTTTTTCCTTCTTCAGGGTTTCTCCAAAGATATTAAAGTACCAAAAGCAAAATATGTTGGCTACATCAAGGATTATGAGGGTGCCACGTTAATGGGATGTGAATTAAATCCAAGGATCCCCTACACGGAATTTTCTGTCATCATTAAAAAGCAAAAAGAGGTAAAGGCTGAAATGAAACACTGAACATTATAATCTATTCAGATGTTTAGAAAAATTCATTCAGTAACAGGTTAGCTCTCTTCTTTGCTTTGGTGCTTAAAACATTGGAATATATACTTTTGTTAGTTAGAATAATTCTTTCAGGCAAGTCCCAGTGCCATAGTTTTGCAGTTGAAATATTAAATTTTACTTTACTAAATTCACCATAACAGAAGTGTTGAAAAGTACTGATATTTTGAGCAGTATTTCATAGCTAAATTTTGTCGTAGCTAAACAACATATTGTGAGATTGATTAGTTCTGCAGCTTTGTAAACTTTTTTTCTTCTCTCACCCTCCCATGACAGTAGCGTTCATTAGGTGACTTTTGAAAGGAGTGTTTGTACTACATGTCCTGTATTTTACTCTTGGGAATGAGGATTACTTTTTCTGCCACAGTTTTAATATATAAATCAAGGGTGTACTACCTTAAGTTTCAGGCTGTGTTTCTTTGGAGTTTATGTGGAATGTTTTAAATGTAGTCCATAATAATATTCCATTTAATAAGGCAGTTTATTAATAAAATAATTAAGATGTTTCCAGTTGTGTTTAAGTACCTTCCTGGGTTTTTAAAGAAATACAGAGTACAAGGATAATTTGTTCTTTCGAGGCTGGTTAAATGTCATGACTTCTGTTAAAATACTTCTCCATCATTTTCCTCCCAGTAGAACTATTTGGCCTGTGCTTACAAAAAGAAAGACAGTATCTGAGTGCTATACATTTTGTTTACAAGATTTCTTAACTTCATTTTTTGGGAAAGTTCTCATATGCCCATACAACCTAGATCGTAGTTTTTTTCACTTCCATGCTTAGTTGGGTTACTCTTCAGATCCCAGTCTACTGCTGGATGTGTCACCTTCCCCTCAAGGATGGGATGTTGTCAGGGTGAGCAGATAATGAATGTGAGTCTTGTGGCCTGTTACATCTCAGGCATGCTTAACTGCAGTAATGCAGTTCTAGGTCCAAACTATGAACGTATCACTTCCATTAACTTATTTTTTTAAGATTTTGGTTTTGGGAATGCTTTATTAACATAACGTTATTTTGTATTCTTCACTCTCTCATTTGGTGGGATGTCCAGATTGTTTCAAAACACTTGAAGACATTCCACTGGGAGATAAATTGCGTCAGTCCTCCAGACACGTCTACCATTATTAGAAAGCAAGCTGTTGTTATACACTGATCTATGCTGTTGTAACTTCTCTGAGAATAAATATATATATACCTCTGGATGTGCGTTTTAGGATTGCCCATTTGACACTCAAGACACAAGACAGGCTTTTTGTTTTTCTTGTTCCAAGGGAATTCAGAAATAGCTCTCAGTCTGCAGCAGCTTTATGAAGAATGTTTGCTTGTCTGCTCAAATCAAAAGCAGTGAAGATGATACCTGAACATAACTGGAATTTTGAATATTGCCAGTATGGATTATGTACTGACCTGGTTTGCTGCTGGTATTGGCCAATACTGGGCATCAGGCTTTTCTAGTCCTGTCCTTTTAGAAATGAAGCTTTTCCTGGGATCTAAGCTTTTGTTGAAATAATTAAGAGTATGCCTATGGCTGCTAACAGCATGTCACCTGACACTGGGTACAAGTCACAGACCATTTGTGAGTCTGCACTGCCTGATTTGTAGCTCATTTACAGTCATTCTGTAAAAATCCCTATATGCAGAGCTCTGTGGCTGACTTGTGAGTAATCAGCATTACTGATTGAACAGCCTGTTTTAATCAGAAAGAGCCACAAGTTCCTAGATTATAAGAAGGGTTTAAGGTGGATTTAACAATTAGTTTGAAAGTATTTTGATGTTACACTGGATTCTGGCCATAATGGTGTTTTATCCTGTATTTCTTTTAACATTGGTAACCTCTATCTAAAGTCTGCTTTTTTTCCTTTTCCTATTCTTTGAGAGAAAATACTATGTGTGTCAGGGAGAGTGAATGTCTTTAAAAATAAAAATAGGTCCATCTTTGTTATTTCCAAAGAAAATAGTCTCTCAAACGGTCGTGGTCTGAATGGCTGCACATTTGTTTACTGCTGGTTATGAAGTAAGCCATTTTGGAAGTGACAGATTCAGGACACACAAAGCTCTTAGGTAAGCGTCTAAGTGCGTGTCAAGAGCACCAAAGCAAATGACTTAGAATTGAGGTAATGAGATTGCAAAGCAGAACAGAGCGTACCCAGGACTGGAAAATCCTTTCCTGGCTTTTACAAGCAGAGTAGAATTTAGCTTCCAAAGAGTGGTATCATTCTGACCTCCTTGAGAGAAAATCTTCAGTAAGAATAACTCTGACTGATACCTAAGCAGCTCATACTGTTATGTAGAGATTTGAAAGTGAACAGGTATTTCTAAAATTTTGGATAGGAACATATATGTGCATTGAAATATGTGCATTCAGCTTGTGCCTTGAAATTTCTAACTGGCTGTGCTGAAGCAGTTCAGAAGCACCAGCTGTTAAGAGTTCAAGCCAGTTCCCAAACCTGCTTCCAGGAAACTTCCTGACCTTTGCTGCCACCTTCCCAGGAGCTGTGGAGCTTGTGATCAATACAGCAAATACTGACTCCATTTTGTGCTGATTTGTACCTAAATAGGCAGTTGAGAGACTTGATAGCTTCATTTGCAGAATTAGTGTTTGACCAGGTTAGCTTATCCCTGTTACCAGCTTTAGGGGATCTGGAAGGACCACAAGATTAGGAAGTAAGAGTGTTTCTTTTCCTTGCATTAATCTGCTACATTTACAGTTCAGCAAATAAATTTCTCTTTTCTTTTTTTTTCCCCCTGCTGCTTCATTACAGATCATTAAAAAGCTCATAGAGAGGAAACAAGCTCAGATACGAAAAGTTTATCCTGGCCTTTCTTGCTTCAAAGATGGAGTACGGCAGATTCCTATAGAAAGCATTCCTGGAATTAGTATGTATCAACATTTTTAATGTAGAACAGAAACAAAACAGCCCAAGAAAGGACCAAGACTAGAAATGCTCATGTAGTCACATATTTCTTTGTTATTAAAACATAATTGTGTTGGTCTGCTGATGTTGGTTTCTATGAAGATTTCTGTGTTTCCATTACAATTGCTGTCTTTGAGACTTCCCTAAGGCATTCCAGACTGATTCTCTTTTATGTACCTGTGTAATTTTATTTATATGTGATCCCCCTTTGATTTGTATCACAGTGTAGTTGGCAATTTCCTCTAGCACCACTGTTATTCTGTACAAGGATGAGTTCTGAGCCAAACATGGACTTACAGGACAAAAAAGAAATAGAATATTCAAGTATCATCTTTTGGGGACTTTTTTCAACTGTGCTTTTTTGCAGTTTATTCTCTGTCCCTCGGGGTTCAAACTGGATAACTTTGACATCATTATTGTTTACAGAGGCTGTGGTAAAATTTGTACTGAATTATTGAAAAAATGTGTGTTTCACTTAGGAATATTTTAGAGTCTATTCATCAGTCTGGAGGAAGAGGCATGTAGGAGACTAAATGGGGTTGTAAGCTAGATGGTTATGTTATTTATTAGGAGTAGCTTTTATTTAAAAAACCCTCATTTTACTGCAGCAGTGCTAAAATGGCTTATCTTTTTAGAGTTGAAATAACTCAGTTAATGTTTTGACCTACTGTAGTTCCCATGTAATCTCTCCTGTTGTTGGTGTACAGGAGAGACTGGCTGGAAACCAAGTGGAAAAGAAAGAGGGTAAGTGCTGCTCAAAGTAAAATGATGAAGTAGTCTGAAGGTCCTTTGAGAAAAGTCTTTAAACAATGTACTTTGGTATTTCCTTCTATCCATTGGAAAATAGATAAATCATGTGCAAGGGATGAGTTCTTAAGTGGGTTTGGTTTGGTTTGGTTTTTTTTGGGGAGAGGGTGTTTTTTTTGTGTGTGTGTGGTGTATGGTAGGTTTTTTTGTTTGTTTGTGTGTTTGTGGTTTTTTGTTGTTGTTGTTGTTTTGTTTTGTGTGTAAATCTGTTTAATTATTTCTTCCATAAAATGCTTGAAACTTTGGAGTTGTTTTTAGGTAAAATGCATGCCATAGTAATGAGGACAAGGGATTTGAGATAATGTTTTTGTATTCGTATTTTCTTTCAAGTAAGGAGCCCAAGGATCCAGATCAACTTTACAGCACATTAAAAACCATCCTGCAGCAGGTGAAGGTGAGTGCTAGTTATAGTTTATCTTCTGTAAAGATTTTTAAATAATTTCCAATATAGAGTTTCCATATTAGATACCTTACTTTTTTCTTTACCAAAGAGCCATCAAAGCGCTTGGCCCTTCATGGAACCTGTGAAGAGAACAGAAGCTCCTGGATATTATGAAGTTATAAGGTTTCCCATGGGTAATGCCATTAACATTTTTTAAGTATAGCATTTAAAAATCTTTATAGCTGGAAACATAGCAGATAAATTGTAATCTGATTGTTTTATGTTAAAAGATACATATTACTTGCAGCTGAATAGCTTGCAGCTCTGAAGTGCCAGAAGTGTGATGAAATTTATGACTGCTCTGTGACCTTTGTGAGGCATCCACAGTGTATACATGTGAAATTTTAGTATGCCCTAGAGAGCCCTAGCAAGCTCTTAAATGGTGCAGTCAGCCAGAAACTTTCAGGACTGAGCAGGTTTATGTGAGTTATACAAATATGTTCTCATGTGTGGTAACTGGTTGTTGCAGGTCGTACTGGCATGCTAAAAAAATCTCAAGGCAAACTTGTAGGAATACCTGAGCTTTTGAATTGTTTTGAAGAACAGATTTAAGCTTTCTAAATCACATAGAGAAAACCTTTTCAAAATTACCAGGGTTTTTCAAAGTAAGGGTTAACAGTTTGCTCCAATTTAAGTTTAGGAAAATGCTTCATGCACCTGATTGTAAGATAATTTTTATCTTTGCATTCTAGATCTGCTGGCATTCTCTGAGGTGTGGGGGTTTTTGTTGTTGTTGTTGATCTATTTTCATTTTGAAATCATGCCATTATTGTTTATGCAGGATTACTTACAAAGGGAAGTACACAACTGCTAATCAAGTTTTTCTTTGCTTTTGATTGCTGGGTCATATAATTTCAGTGATGTTTCAATGCTGTTCTAAACAGATGCTTGTTTTTATTGTATTGCAGAAGATTTCAAACTAACTCCTGCTACTGCTTCATTGTTTATGTAGTACTCACCTCCAGTCTTTCTGATAACAGTTTCTGTACCTTTTAATGTTATTAGAGAATGAAATACAAGTTCATTGCAGGCTACTATCAATCAGTTTCTTAAAGAACAAAGTTTTGCTTTGCATATGATCCTAACCTGTGTATACCAATTTGGCTTAATGATTCTTTTTAATATTTAACTTATTTCCAAATAGCAAATATATGAGTCCTTTGTAAAACAGCAGCTGGCTTCCTCTATCCCCAACACAAATGTATTTTCTAGCAATGAAGAAAAAGAATGTTGACAACATCCCGTGACAGAATTTTCTGTCTCCTTTTCTGAGCAGAGGTTACATCTACATGGATGTTTAATCTGAACAGTGGTTACAGAGGACTTACTGGTTGGCAGATCTAAAGTAGGAATGTTGTCTGTCCTTTCCTTGTTCAGATCTATTACACTAAGGGTGAGGACAGCAGCTCTCATTTCAGGATTAAGCTGAGGTCTTTGGTTTTGTTTTCCTTTGTTTTTTTCAGCTAAGGAACCCAACACAACTAAACCATGTTTTGATCCATGATCAGCTTCTACTTTCTGCTCTCACTGCCAGCATGCTGATACTGTACAAAAATGGCTCAGACATAATTTCAGTTAAAAAGAAACAGCATTGTCTTTTCTTATTCTATCACATACAGAATATTACAAGATATAATATTTGTCTATAAATTTGTGTATAGACCAAACTGTACAATATTTGAGAGGCATGGCTGTAGGGTTTTTTGACTACCTCCTAAGGTCAATTCTCATGTATGAAAACTTCTTTTCCCCTGTTTTAAGTGCTCTTTCAGCTGTTCATTTTCAAGAAATACTGTCTGGGGCTTTTTTCCCCTTTTCAGCTGCAATACAAAAACTATGGCTGAGTGACAGATGGAGCCAAACTTCCACTGTAGTTAGAACAGTTTAACTGCCCAGGTGAGCAATGTTTGCTTTAGTGTGAGCTGAACAGCCTTCTCAGTTTGATATTATAATTATATGGATATCTAGTTTAGATGTAGGGACCTAAATTTCAGACTTAATAGGAGCTGAATGAGCCTTTGCTTTTACAAAACATTGCACAATGCTAGTTCCAAATCATTGGAAGAGGTATTTGAGAGCATCCATCAAACTTTTCTTAAATAAACCCCTCTTGTCAATTTGACAGACTTTTCTCTACTTTACCAAAGTTGAATCTCCCTTAAAAAAAAAAAAAAAACCAAAAAAAACAAACACAAACAAAAACAAACAAACAAACAAAAACAAACCAAAAATACCCACAACCATAGTTTTAAATCTGAAGTTTTAAGGTTTAATTCCTTTTCATTGGAGGCCTTTGGTCTCCGCTTTCCTTGCCGTACTTGTTGGCAGTAAGTGTTCTCCATTTCAGCTGTTTCTCTTAGCTTCACAAAGGTGCTGCTGAAGCCTGGCTCTAGCATTGCTAAAAAAAAACCCAGCTGTTAGAGCACCTGAGGTGAGAAAAGCCAAGGCATCTAGCACACTTCTCTACTACTCCTGTACTCACTCCTAGAATACTTGTAACATAGATAAGATTTTAAAATGCCTGATAAGAATTACAGGGGAAGCAACTGTGTAGAGAACACTTGGGGTGATTTACATATTTTACAGATGACTGATTTTGGAATAAAGGAAAATATTTTTTAAAGAATGTTCTGTAAGTAAAGGTTTTGTATGATGTGTTGAAAGCAGGAGAGAAGTGTTCTCATGTGACTTTTGGAAACGGATACACAACTATAATCTTTGAAGACGTAATTAAAAAAATACATGTAGAGTGTGGAACAAATTTAATGTTTTTTTCAAGCTGCAAGTACTGCTTGTAGTGTAAACAGATGTCCTTTCTCAGCTGCGTTCACACAGAAGTGAGGATTTTATGTTAACGTACATGTTTTGTGATGTTTGAATTCTTTGCTTACATATTCCCAAGGCCTCCTCCAGCAGAGCTGACCACTGCTCTGTTAACTCTCCAGTTGCTTAGAGAGCAGTTAGAGGAAACTTGGGGACACCTAATGCCCACTGAAAATTCAGAAGTATGAAAACGCAAAATAATGATGCTTTAATGTTTTAAAAAAATAAAAAATAATCTCTACACAAAGTCATTCTTACAGTGAAACAGTGTATAGTGCCAGGGGCTCAATTGCTGTTGATGCCAAAAAAAATGACTGCACCTTAAGGCAAAAGCGAGTAGGAATCCCGAATCCTAAATTTGCCGGGGCATGTGAAATGGTCATTTAAATGGCAGATGTTAAATGGCAAATCAGGTATTGCAGGAAGCATCTGAATCAAACGCTGTTAATCTATTTTTCCTCTGTACAGATCTCAAAACAATGAGTGAGCGACTCAAGAATAGGTACTACGTGTCTAAGAAATTGTTCATGGCAGACTTGCAGCGAGTCTTTACAAATTGCAGAGAGTACAACCCCCCTGAGAGCGAATACTACAAGTGTGCCAATATACTGGAGAAATTCTTCTACACAAAAATTAAAGAAGCTGGATTAATTGACAAGTGACACTTGGCTCTTTTTTACAACCAAATAGCGTGCCTACCTTATGGGCAGGGGAAGCCGTTATATGTCTGAGTTGTGGAACTTCACCGTTTCAAGAAACTTCTGTTTAATACTTAGCACTTTTAAAAACCCTTTTAGTTTTGCAAACATGTATTATACTGAAGTTACAAAAATTATTTTATTAAAATGCTTTATAATGTATTTAATGACAGAAAATTTCCTTTGTGTGCCCATTACCGTATGGTCAGAATAAGTTTATCAGCGACAGCCTCAGATACCCCACAAAACATGTGGGAAATTGCACATGTTTGGGAATATGAAGAAAATTCCTGGACAACAGATGTTATAGCTTACTTAATGCAGTACCTATTTGATAAAGTTTCAGTATTTTTTTTCCAGTAAAAAAGAAAATTAGCAAGGGAAAACAACAGCTGGGGAGGGGGGTTCTGAAACACTTCTTTCTTTGTAGAATCTTTTTATAAGATATTATTTTTAAAAAGAAACAGCTGGTTGAGAAGCTGTGAGAAGAGGAGCCAGTTCTGAAAATGGACTGCCTGTAATCTTTGATAGATGCAAGTTTTTCTATTCATTTGGGGTTTTGATAAATACTTTACCTGCAAATTGTCATCTCATAACCACTATTAAAAAAAAAAAATATTGTTAGGATGTGTAATGTCAGTGACTTGGCTTATGCAGGACATAAGTACCCAAAACCACTTTAGAGAATCCAATTCATGCATACTAGACAATTTCAGTTGGCTCAGTGGAGTTGAGGTTTTGATGTGCTTCATGATCCACCCTATTTATTGTTCTTCACTGATAAATTCTTCACATTATTTGGCAGAGATAAAACTGTTGTACACAAGAGCAGTCAATGTATGACAGCCTCTTAGCTTATGTACTTGCCTCTGCGGTAAACTGGATTTTCTACCAGGCTTTCTTGTAACTGCTTATTAACTGTGATTATTTAGATCCAGGAACATATTAACATTTTATAAATCATGTTAATATACCTTCAAACAGAACCCTTATATATAAAATATATATTTTGCTGCTTACACTACATTTAAGAGGTACAACTAACTTCCTAGTGGAGATAAGTACAGGCCAAAAAGTTGTCACTTGACATTTTCTAATTAGGGTTTGTAACTCTAAATTTTGTTTGCTTTTGTGAAAAACACATTTAACTTTCCTTCTTGGTGTTTTCTATTTACAGATGTTACACTGGTAAAAGTCAATAGTTAGGAGACAGAGAAACCCCTGTCCTGTGCTGTGTCAAAGAATATATTCCTGCAAAATACCTGTGCAATGTTAAATCACAAGTTGATTCAGCAAGCAGATGTCAGGAACTACCTGGAAATAGTAATTGTAGTACACAAGGTAGTAAAAATGTTAACACTAGACTTGCTGTAGTGTTTGGTATGAGATTAGTCTGAACTACATTTGGATCTATAACAAAGGTACAGTGAGGTTTTTTTTAATAGCCAGTACTGGATGCTATAATCCTGTTTTGTAGATGGGGCCTACAGATGCACCTGTTGAGCTTGGTATCCTGTGAAATTTTGTTATTTTCAGAGTAGATTTTCTTATCGTCTTTCAATCAGATTGTCTCTTCTATATTGAAACATTTGTTTTCTAATTTAAGAATTAATATTTTCATAGATACTGTGCAATAAAGTTATGGTAGGATATGTGGTTTTGCAAATGCTTTAACAGCTGATGAACTTTACATTTGTAAAATTAATATATTGTACTGGTACAGAATAGTTTTAAATTATATATGTACAAAATCCTACTTATTTCAGTCTCTTTTTTTTCATTAATTGATTCTTGTACTGGAAATATATACACAGAAGCAATTTCACAACTGAGCACAGTGAGTCTACAAGAGTGCAGTTAGTGTATCTTCCAGGAACAATACAAAATATGCAGAAAAGCCTGAGTTCACTGGGCGCATGGTGGGCAAAGCCAAGCTGTGAGGTCAGTAAGGAAAGCTATCATTGTTCTCAAAACAGGGTCCTTCACCTGGTGTGCAAAGCCAGTCAACACCAAGTCCAGATACTTAACTTTGGTTCTGCAGAAACAGCACTAGGCAATTAATTGCAAGTCCAGCACACTGTTAGCTCAAACAGCAGCAGTTTATCTATGGTACAAATAACAAACTGGATATGACTGATGACATGAATTTACATCACATAAAACTTTGTACATGTGCTCAATCAGTTACACAATTCATTATACTATTACCTTATTTCTTATACCAAGGTAATCCTACATTTAAATTCTCCTCCTTGAGGTGTTTTTTTTTTTTTTCATATTAAAATCACAGTAGGTAGTGTAGGGGGCACCTCAGTGGTTTGCTTTGTCCAAATCAGTCCCTGGTTTCTGTAGAGAAGCTGTCACAAGGCATTATCTCCAAAGGCTGACAATTTTACTGTCTTTACACACTGCTTTTAATTACTGTGTCTTGCTTCTGATCATTTTAGCCTTCCATTCTTCTTGTCCTGGTTTCAGACCAGTTTGTTATATGCTTGTTCAGCCTAAAAATTTTTAGCTCTATTCTTCTAACATCACTGTGATGACTCCACAGAGTGACTGAGCTACAGCTCTTTGACTCCTGCCCTCATGTCTCAACTCTTTGCCTGAGCTGTTCCAAAGTTTTGATTTTTCAGCTCAAAGCATGTGCATGCTCTTTTTCTAATTTGATCTGCACTACAGTCCTTTATTCACAAGACACAGTGTAGATGGGAGGAAACAGCGGTCCCTTGTTGAGCCTGTAACAGGCGAGTAACAGCATGCTCATGGGAGGCAAGAACGTTTGTTTTGCACCTCATAAACAAATCCTGAACCTGTCCCATACCTGAAAGACAATTAGAGAGGATAAAGATTTATTTTTCTTTTCCTTATCCACTAAGATTTGATCTTGTGCTACAGTACAAAAAAGTGTAGTGCTCAGAGAGCAGCAAATAGTGGTCAAAAGAGGCCTAGCTGTTTTCCTGGACACTCTTCAGAATATCAGTTGACTCTGACTCCTTCCTGCAGTTGTGATGGAACTACAGCAATTCTTTAAGGTTACTCAAGCCATCAAAATAGCCCCGGACCCACCACAGCTGACCTTGGGCTGCTCTCCTATCATATTGTTCTTCTTCTCCCTAGCAAACAGCTCTTAGAAGAAAACAACTCTGAAAGAAGATAGTACCTGACGTTAAGCAGAATGATTTAAGTTCCTATGCTACTAGAGTTTCAGAATGAAGATGGCAAGGCCCAGAACTAGAACTCTAGGATACAAATGGAAGGTTGAGTTTCAGTTCCAACACTCAAATGCTGCATCATGAACAAATATTTTTTTTAAACATGCAGTAGCTATAGCTCCTACTATTACTGTTGAGTCATGCAAGAAGTTACCAGTCAAACAGTAATTAACACTATACATTTTTATTACAGAGAGAACTTACACCTATTGAAGTGAGACAGGTGAAACAGGCAACCTAGCAAAACAAGTGACAAGCCTGTATTTTTGTACATTCTCATTACTTCCAGTGTAGCTTTCCTCTCTGTATTCATGTATCCATCAGTACTTCTTAGATGTTCCTCAAGCAAATAAGAGCTAGGCTTGAGTGCTCTGCAACCTTGAAATCTTGCTGGAGAGTTTCTAAGTGTTCTTACAGCACACAGCCTATCAAATGGTACCAGTTCAGCTGTGGCAGATCTTCCTCTGGTAAAGGCACTTGGCAAAGCAGTCAGCCCCGTGTGTAAAAGCCAGTCCCACAACAGCAGTTTACATGACACTCCACCAAAGCAGAGTGCTCTTCACCAGCCTTCACAGATAACCAGACAGGAACAGCACAAATTTGACACTAACTTCATAGCAACATCAGCCAACACTAAATGGCTACTTTTGAGAGCTCCAGCTACATCACCCAATTACAGCTGGCAGTCTTGCTTCTAAACAATGTCTACACCACACAAGGTGGGGAGGGACACACCGTCTTGCTGACATTGCCACCTGTGAAGAACACATGGAAACTGCAGAAAGAACACCAGCCCCACTGTTTCCAAAGCCTCAGACATTTATTACATGTGAGCTTCAACAAAAAACTACAGCCATTACTTAAACAACATCTGTATAATCTTTATGAAAAAAAACAAAATATCAATTAAAAAAATTGTTCTTACGTGCCTGAAGTCCACCCGTGCCAGCCACTGTAAGACCAAGCAAACTATAATCCATAAAATTACATTCCCTATCTTTTCCATCAGATGTTCCTGATACTCAGTTCTATAATGTTCTATAATGTGCCCCCTCTCAGAAGAGTTTGAATAAAATCACCTTAGTTATAAAAGAAGTCTTGTGTCTCCTACATCATTATAAACAAGTCACCAGATTAAAAACAAAACCCCTTAATATTGGACTCTTAGAAAAACTTGCATATTTGTGTAAGGTATTGTGCGACTGCTTTCCAGGACGAAAGATTACCTTTCTCCATGGAGCAAGCATGGCTCTGCTGCTGTGACTGGAAATCTCAGCAACAACCAACAAATTTCTCATTATATTTTGATAAAGCTTCTTTCTTAACAGAATGGCATTTAGCAGTTTTTTTCTGCTTGAAAATTGGAGAATTCAGAAAATGTGTGTCTGTAAATGGATCTCCTCTCCGGAGTTTCCTGTGTTAAAAAAGAAAGGCAAAACTGAGTTTTGTCAATTAATACATTAACTTTCAGCTAGTAAGTTCAATTTCACATGAACTATTTTGTATTACTAACATCAGACCCCCGTTGGATGTTTTAAGATCTTACTTCCAATATTAAAATAATCCCCTCAAATCCTCCATTTGATGGAATATCATGAAAATTTTATGACACCAGCAAGTAAGACACGTACCCTGCAATACTTGGTTCTTTATAGCTCACAGTAAGAGTGCAGCTTCGCTTGCGTTTTGGAGACCGGGGTCCTTCACCTCCCGGGGCTGTATTGGCATGCCCACCACTGGGGAGCAATGAAATGGTGTTGGTGACATCACACAGACGATGAGATGGCTCAGAAGGCTGCCCTGGGAAGAAACGTGGCACACTTCAGACAATTCAGGCAAGCAAGCTTTAAAAAGAATGTCAATTAACTTACTAGGTGTGAAGTAACTCTCTGCTATAACTAGTTTACCTTTCCACTTAAGAATACGTAACAGAATCAGTATTAAGAATTTCAATTTGGAAAAATAAATTAACACTAAGCTGTGCCAAGCAAAGTCTGATGTCTTATTCCCCTTATCAATTTATACTTTTCTCTGTCCTCAGCACGAAATACATCATTAAATATATCTAAAATACAGTATTCAGTGTCCACCAATTTCTTAAAGCATATCTCTAATTACAATTTCTGCTAAGGAAAAAAGTGATCTAATGGTATTTATAACATTTCTATTAAAAACCATAAAAATAAACCAGCCTAAGTCCATTAAACAATGTTATCTCCCAAGGAAACAAAAACACAGAACACTTTCTACACTTACTAACAGACTTGTCACTTGATTTACTGCTTTCAGTCTCTGTGTCGTTATGGAGTTTCTCCTCATGCTGAGACAGACATCTTTTGGACCTTGGCCTTGCACAGACTGGTGATGGATCTTTCTTGTCCGCGGAACTTTTCTTTTTCGATTTACTCTTGTAAGGCTCATAGAGGCTGTCATCTGAATCTTCCTCAACATCACTTGACTTCATAGTACTAGTTTCAGATAAGGAGTCCTTGTCATCCACACTAGTATTTGTGTCATTCACCTTATTTTGTCGAAAAGGTGTAAGATGGACACGCTCTTCAAAATTAAAGTTGTAAGCATCGCTGAAGCCACCCAAGAAATCCAGCTTTTCTGTAGAAACCTCTTTATCCTGTTTTTGTTTTGGTCTTTGTTTGGAAGTATTTTTAGGCCGCTGCAGTTTTCTCTTCCGATGCTTTTCTTTCCTTATTTGAAAGTCTTCTTTGCTTTTACACTCACGTTTAAGATCAGAGTCACTGCTTAACTTGAATTGTGCAGTTTCAGAATCTATCTGCCCCTCCACCACCTGCAAGCCTACCTTGTTCAACTGAGAAATATCTGAATTTATGTTCTCTACGGTACACTTCTGTAGACTTTCTTCAAGTCTAATTTCATCCTGTTGAGAAAGCTCTTCTATTGAATCAGGTGCTTCAGAGTAGTCCAAGACACCAATGCCAAGTTCGTGATTTCTCATCTTTGAATAGCGACGCCTGGTGGACACACATTTTGGTAACACATGACCAAATCCATCACTTCCACTCAAAGAAACACTTTCCAGCTCTGACCCCATGCTGTCCAGATGAAAATCAGATGTTTGTCCTTGTAAGTGAAGGGAAAAAGTCGTATTAAATCTAAATAGTAAAAACCTGTTAAAGTTTTGTGCAAATTACGAACCTGTAGAAAATTAAGACTATTCTAAGAATTTTCTGCACAGATTTCTATAAATCAGTATTCTGCAATCAAGACAAAACCTGTTTCATAGAGCTTCCAGACAGAAAGCAGTTAGGTATACTACACCAGGATTTTCCTTTAAGGAAAAAAGGTTATCTACAATAACTTACTTTTCTGAGTACCTTGCTTTAACAGTTTTTGATTTCGTAAGTGGTAATACTTGACTAAAGACAGCTTTACTCTGTAGAACCTTTTGGTAAATGAGCAAGTTAGAACACAGGTATATAGAAGCCAAAGTGTTTTCAAATTCTTCCTGTTTTGCTAGGCATCGTCATTCAAAAAGGTTATCAGTTGTCAACATGAATACCTAAACTTATTATCAAAAGTGCAAAATTACTTGACAGTTATTTCAAAAGCAGTAGCTCCATTCACAAACTTACACTCACATGTGTGGTTTTTTTTCTTTTTTCTCTCCCTCAACTCAGAATAGAGCAACATATAACTGATTTCATTACCTTTATCTGGAACTACTGTGAGCAAGGAAAGATCTTTGTCAGATTCCTCGCAGATGTCAACTACAGTGTGAGCCAGCTCATTTCTGTCATCATCAGCCCCCACCCTGCTCTGAGGTACTCGACCAGCATACTGCAGAGAGCCTCTAGAAAAAAAAACAAAGGCAGTATTTACTAACTAGTGATACATTTTAAGACAATGAACTACTTAATTACATTGGATATCTTTGCCTTTCGCAGGCAGAAAATTAAGCTTACTGTAACAGGATATTAAGGTATAAATAGCTATTAACAAAAGATACTTACACAGAATGTATTTGTTCTACGACACTGGAGCTACTTTTGAGAGCTGCAGGAATGGGTCTCTGATTCTGTCAAGAAAATAAGTTGTACTGTGACTGAGCAGCTGAAACAAGCTTGCACCACATGCAAGTTTTAGACAACAGCCAAGTTACCCACAGAGGGGCCAAAGAGGCCCTTGACTCTTTTCTTTGTGGCTGGCTAACACAAAGCACTGCAGGATCTCACGTACTCGGGTCCTGCAAGTTCCCACATTCAGCACCAGCCCAATCACAGACAGTGGACAGGGGAAGGAGCCATGAGGATGGTAGAGGGAACAAGGCACAAAACCATAATAAACCAGGGTGTCCCTACTGCCTCAGAGCAGAGCCTCACTTCCACTAGGAACCTGCTACACATCCTCTAAGCACTGACTCCGTGTTCCCATACTGGGAACTGTGGGATTACTCATGCCTCCAGACTATGTCTCAGATCTCAAAAACTATGTGTGTCTGTGCTTGAAGGAGTGAGGGTCAGAAGTAACAGAAATCTTGCCACTCAAGAGGAAAGGTACTTACTACAGCAATGGAACACAAATCCTTCACTGGGCCAAGAAGATCAATTGAGTCCAGTAAGTTCTGAGAAACCTGTGAAATTATCTCATTCAAGGCTGACAGTCGATTCTAAGGGACAAATGATACCAGTTACTGTCATACTCTAATATCAATTACCAATACAATAACTTCTTATTGGTATTATAAGATAACCAAATCCTCAAGATGCCTGCGTCAGGAACCACCAACTGCAACAACAATTCAAAGAAGATAGTTATAAGAAGAACGAATAGACAGAGGGGAAAAAAAAAAGTTAATGACCAGATTAGGTAAAAAAAAGAAAAAAACAATTGTCCCACCTACTGAGCTAATTTTTCATGAAACTTTTAAGATCCTAAAAAATATTAGTGGATTAGTGCAGATTCTGATTGCCAGCTACATTAAATCATAAAGTTGTTATTAGAAATACCTCAACAAGTCCTTCTTGCTTGCACCTTAGTTTTCTTTCCAAGTCAAATATCTGAAGCCTCAGGTCTTGACAGGTTTTGGTTAAATAAAGAACAGTAGCCTCAGCATCCCTCCGTTGGACCTTTTCTTCTTGCAAAGCCTGAGCTAGAGCTTTGTTGTTTGCTTGGAGGCTCTTTATTTGCTTGGAGTGGTTGGCTGCAACAGAACAGTGAGTATTTTAACTTGGTTAAAAAAAACCAAGATATCTATATGAAAACTTTAAAGATATTTAAGCCTCTTACCTGGTATTTTGCACCTTACAGTGGAGGTCTGGCTAGTTTTACCCAACCGTATCCATTTCTGATTTCTTCTCTCTTTCATTCGTTCTTTTATGCCACTCAGGCTGTCTTTGAAGGGCTTTTTCAAGTATGCAGCCATCTCCTACCTTTAGGCATATGAAGGGTAAGGAACTCTTTCAGCTGGTGTTGCACAATGCCTCCCAGAGCCAAAAGAAAAGGAACAGAAGCAAGAGTACAGCTTACAGTATTTTTAAGTTACACATAAACACACAGAAGAGACCCACAAAAACAGAGAGACAGCTTTGAAACGCTTTCAAAACCAATTTTTACAGCAAAGCTACTGTCACTGCTGCCAGTTACTTGAGCTGACAAATGCCTGGTGTCCGCGGCGGCGGCGACCAGTCCGAGGCCTCTGAGCACTCGCATCGGGGCGGTGCGACGGGCAGGGGAGGCGGATGGGTGCGTGCCCCGAAGCGACAGGAAGCGGGCCCTCGGCTCGCCTCACGCCGAACGAAGGCGGCCCCTCATGACAGCCAAACACCCGCCCGATGACCCGCCAGCTGTACCTCCTCAGAAAGGCGCACGTAGCACCGGGCACCTCCCACGCACGGCCACGTCTGCCCGA